ATCAATGATCGAATTGAACAGGTTAATTATATATTTATATAGTATAATTATTATGCTCAATATTATCTCGCCTGCAAATTGTACGTGGATTAGGCCTACTGCGATCTTCTTCTCATGGCGCCGTCTCCTTTCGTAGGTTGGCGATTCAAATGGCAATTGAAGGGTCCAATCATCGAGCAAAAAGACAAAAGAGGGAATGTAAAGGTAGTGGGGGCAAAAATATTGTTAGACAGGAAGTGCTATCTTTAGAGGCCACATAAAACAAGGAAAGAGAGTCTCTCTCCTTGTTTGACATCAAATTTAGTTGGGTTATGTTATTGTTTGTCCCAAATGTCACATGAAATCTTATTTATATTAAAGTTTTTTAACAATTGTGTCGCATTTTAGACTATTACCGTTAATGCTTAATTAAAACTTTCTCGTCTAAGACACATTATGAAAAATATTATATAGCTACAGTTAATAAGTGTCGGAAAATTTAAATTTGGCGCATTCGCATTTCCGGATATGTCCGCCATCAGAGGCCACTTTTTTGGTCTCCTTTTCATAAGGACTAGATTCCCTCTTTTGTCTTTTTGCTCGATGGGTCCAATGCATAAACCGATCAAGTTAAATAAAGCAAAATGTTCAGAAGTAAAAAACATTTTGATCGAAAACTATGAAATCCTGATAAATTTTGTATTTTCTAATATTTGAAGATCATCTTGTTAACACTATTTTTTTAAATAATAAGTTGTAAGTTAAAAAACAAAAAAGTTATGGGTGAAAAATAATTGGACTTGACTGGTTTATGCAAAGTATTCATCTTTTTTTGCGGGAAAAAATAAAACAAAATAGAATTTCATATTCAAAAAATTATTTTGTAGCAATTCATTAAATGAAATAAACAAGAACATAGTTTCAACTAAATGTTAGTGCAGAGTTTTGAATTGCTTCATAAAACCATTGATCACACTGTGGCACATAATTTGTTGCCAAAGACATAACATGCTCGAATTTGTTCTTTTTCAGCTTTCTCATTTCAGTGTACAACTTTGGTCATGGTTTGGTAAAGTCAGGGGCTGCAAATTCCTCTTATCTCTTAATTATTTCAAAAGTATTGAATACAGTAAAGTTGACGGTTTCGCTACATTTAAACGTCATTTTTCATATCGCATGACACGATATTTTGAGATTTAAATTGGTTGTTCTTCCGATTCTTGTTACCACAATGGCATAAAAAAATGTACCAGTACAAAATTTTTGTTTCGTGACGAACAGTTATCAGAAAATATGTAAATAGTAGTTAAGGCTTGATTAATATGATTATTTAAAAAATGATGTAGTATACTAGCTACATCGTTCTGTCCTTTTGCAGCTATTGTCTCATCATAAACATAAAAACAACTTTTTCCATGAATACAAAAATTGTATACTCAAAGTTGAATTTTATAGAAAACTTCACTACTTGAGGACACTGGAAGTGGCAAATTTTGCTGAAAATCGAAGAATGTTAAAACTTTTACTTGTAAATCATTCTTAGCTAAATCTGTTTTTTCTTTCATGTCTTGATAAAAAGTTTCAGCTTTTGTAATATGTAGTTTTTTTCTCTGTTTCCAATGCTCTTTTTTGGTCATCATTATCGGCGGCATTATTTTGATTTTGTAACTTATCACACTTCTGACAAGTATCTGACTTTGGTTTACCGAAGGATTTTGAAGAAGTAATTGTTCAGGTTTGTATTGTTCTAAGTACATGTGATGCACATGTGTCAAAAGTGGACTTGCCCGGTTTATGCATTGAACCATTCAATTGTGGTTTTGGAAACTGCTGCGCGAAAGATTTCAGCGAATGAGTGGTCGAACCATCTCCTCAGGTCTTTTAGCCATGAGTTCTGGCATCTTCCTACTGATCTTTTGCCTTGTACTTTTCCTAGTGGGATATCACATTCAAAAAACGCGCTTCTACCTCATAGGTGGTGAAGAAAAAAGTCGATGATAATAAATGAATCATAACATAGGAATATTAAGAAAATTATAAATAATATGAATATATATATATATATATTATATATATATATATATATATATATATATATATATATATATATATATAATAGTAAACTCATCCTAATGGTCCGTTTTTATTACGAGTATTCAAGAACCCGCTTAACTTCGGAGTGCTGTGAAAATTATTAGTTGAAAACCCCTCTATAATATTGCTCTGATGTCATTTTATTGTAAAATTACCAGAAAAAAGTTATAAGGCAAAAAAGAAAATTTGTTCAAAAATTTTTAGTTAGTTTTATAACTTTTTAGTAACTTTTTTAGTTTTCATTTTATGATAAAAAGTAATAGAAATAAAGTTGTAGACAATTTAAATATTATAATATAAAAATAATCAGAATTCTATAGAAGGAATGAATTTTCCTGACCAAAATACTAACTGGAAGTGTCTGTATACCTACCTTATAATTTCCTAATTATAGTTCAATCACGAAACAATCTATAAAGCTAAACTGTGTACAGTTTTAGCTAAATCGGTCTATTCATTCTCGCAAAATCGTGTATACCGCATGGAAAAACAAAGTTACGAAAAAAACTCTTTGAAGTTTAAACTGAGAGCATACGTACCGACCAGGCCATATTCAAATCTCTATAACTGTGGCAATATTACTCGAATTTAGTTCAAATTTGAAGTGAATACTCTGGAACGATTATACTTCCATATAGAAATAAATTTTTAGAAATACAAAACCGATGTAACTCCCTAAAATATAGAAAACATAGTATGAAGGTTCGCGATAGTCTATAGTACCGCCTACTTTACCACTTTTTAAAGCCAAATTTCTATACTGGCGTTGTATTAATTTTTCTTTATAGTAAAATTCTGAAGAGAGCATCACGGAAGTAGCGCCAAGTTGTCACGGATAGCGTCACGAAATAGAGGTTCTTTTATTATATCCTCTACTCTCGATCAATTTGTTTTTAGTCATCATATATTTATTCTAAGCCGGTTTAAATTAAAAACTACATGAAAAATAAGCAACAAAATACATACAATAAATGAGAAGTAAAAAATTTAGAAAAAGTAATAAAATCATCCAATTAATAACAATATTAAATTATCTGTTTAAATTTTTATAACACTTCTCGTTTTAAAATAGTTTCATATAAATGCAATTATTATGTTTAAACATAGTATATATTTTAAATTATAGTTAATAATAATAATTAAAAGTATTTGAATATTTCGTCTGGAATTTGACAGGAATGCCAGAAGTAAACAACGTATGCTTTAGTAATACGTTAACAGGTGGCATTAGGAGCAAACATAGAAATTTATTAAAGTAAATTTTAAAAATATCGAAAACATAGCGTTAAACTTTGCGCTACTCTATTGTACTATCTTTTTTTTCTTTAACAGACACGTAAGAAATAATTTAAATTATTGTAAATTTTATGTTAGTTTATTAATAAGTAATTGCTCTTATACTCATATCAACTTCTCTTCTTCATGTACCATGTCTTTTCAGAACGTTGGTTACCATCATAGCTATCTTAATTTTATTCACTGCCACCCTAAATAGCATGCTTGTATTAACACCATACCAATCTCGCAAGTTCTTCAATCATGATGTTCTTCTTCGTCGCGGACTGCATTTGCCTGCTATTTTTCCTTGCATGATATTTTGTAGCAACCTATATTTGGGACCTCTCATTACATGTTCGAAATACTCCAGCTTTCTCTGTTTTATGCTTTTTATGATCTACTAGTCTTGCTGAGACGTTCTAGTATTGCGGAGTTTCGAATCTTCCCCACCCAGGAAACTTTTAAAATTCTTCTATAGCACCACATTTCGAAAACCTCAAGGCGATTTAGATCGATTTTATTTACAGTCCAGAACTCGACACCATAAAGTAAGACCGAGAACACGTAGCAGCAAAGTAGGCGGATCCTTAATGCCAGTTTTAGGTCTTTGTTACATAACACCTTGGACATCCTTCTAAAAGAAGCTCTAGCCTGCTCTATCCTAGATCTAATTTCGCCGTGACTTTCTGCGTTACAACTTAATTGCTGTCCAAGGTAAACGATTTTATCAACCTACTCAAGTTTGGTATTATTTACATATATAGACGATTTTATATGCTGTTTTTTACTTATTACGAGTATTTTTGTATTTCCGTATGTTCAGATCCAGACTGGCCTCCCAACTCTCAACGACACTATCAAGTAGTGTTTGAAGATCTTCTTGACTAGAAGATAGGAGTACTGTATCGTCCCTATTCGCAAATTATTGATGAGCCGTATTGATGAGCCGATGAACATCTCTGACGTCCAAGCCAATGTCTTTTAGAGCTTTGATCAGTATAGAGTGCTTAACACGATTAAATGCCTTTTGGAAGTCTATAAAACAATAGTTGTCTCGTTCCAAATCCGTTACGGAAACCAAGCTGAGTGTCATCCAGGTATTCCTCGCATTTATTGTAGATACCACCATGTATTATCTTCAGAAAAATTTTCAATAAGTTGTTTAACAAACTGATAGTTCTATAATCAGCACAGGTTTTTGTTGAGGTCTTTTTAGGTAGAGCTATAAAGAATGAATTAGACCAACCATTAGGTAGTTGTCCGCTAGTATAAATGGTATTGAAAAACGAAGTTATAGCCTCTAAAACATTGCTATCATTTATAAGCTTGTATATTTCAGTTGGAATTTCATCAGCATCAGTCGCTCTGCCATCTTTTGATGATTGTATGGTTTTTATAACCTCAGAGCGTGATATTAAGGATCCGTCGCAGTTAGTAATATCGGGAGGTGAACTACTCCTATCGTCTTCGAATAGGTTCCTGACGTAATTTTTCCATTCTTTTGTTTGTCCTCTATTTCAAATATTACTTTACCATGTTCATCATGTAGCAATGCAGTTTATTTCTTATTGAAGATACCAGCCGCTTCTTTCACTTTTTTATACATGTTAAAAGCATGTCCATTATTAAACTATGTATATTTTACTTACCAGCAATGGAAAATAAATGAGCACTTAGGGGATCTTTCTTTTCGTTATAATAAATTCCCCTATCGGAAAAGTATTGGAAATCCTTATTTAGAATATCTTTAATTAATATTGGATCTAGTGGCAAAAATGCTTTCCGACTAAAGAAATATAGACCTACAAACCTAAAAATATGACGGAAAATAATTGATTTAGAAAGTAATCTACATCACTTATAAGCAGAGAAACTGTCAAAAACAGTTAGACAACAAAAAACTAGTACCTTTCTGTCAGTTCCTCTGCTTACAAGAGACAAATTGATACAAAGTGCCCTCTTTTGAATTAAATGTTTGTTGTGTCTTTTTGAATGTATTCTGTTTGTCCTTAAGTGTCCTTATGTGTTTTTAATTTTAATTTAATTGACATCACAATAATTTCATAATTTCTGCCCAAATACAAACCAAAATCATTTCATCATAATTTGATAATTACCAGTTGGAGTAGAATAGAATAGTACATAAATCTTTTTCTATATTATAAAATAAATATTATAAAATATACCTCTTGAATAAATATGAATAACTTTTAAGTAACGTAATTTAATTTCAACAATTAATTTACACAATATCTACATTCCTAGTTTAGTTGTTAATATTTTTCCCCCCAAGAACTTTCGCTTTATTTGCTAAAGAGTTGTAGTAAAACCAATGATCACCTGTGTTTTCCCAAACATTAAAGAATAATCCTTTTATCGGCATTATTTAGTTTACCATGTACCATTGACCTGAAGATGCATAGCAAATTATTATAGTATGCGAAATCGGTCGTTGGTGGTAAAATAAATTGATTGTAAGTTTTATTCTTATTTCTTTTTACCTATTCAAATGGATTGATAATGAGGATATTACACTTTTACCGTGGCCAGATCAACCGCCAGATCTTAATCCTATTGAGCATGTATGGAATACGTTTCAGCGGCAGATTGACCCTCATCTGCACAATGTTTATACTAGACAATGTCTTCAAGATCTTATAACAGGAATAAATCCTATTTCCTCAAAACAAAACTGTAATTATTACTGCTGGAGGAAATACAATCTGCAGGCCTTATTGACCGAGTGCGAACTGTGAGCGTAATATACGGACTGAACCTTAATATTAAGAAATCTAAATTCATGGTTGTCAGCCGTACAAATTTAGATCCCGGGGCACTAATGGCAGGTAGCGAATAGATCCAGAGAGTCGACAGATTCACTTATCTCGGAACTACCCTCAACTCACAATGGGACTACGCTCAAGAGATTAGATCCAGAATTGAAATGGTACGGTGTACATTTGTTAAGTTGAGATCCTTGCTGTGCTGCAGTGATCTCAGTTTGGGAACCAAGATGCGGATAGTGAGGTGCTACGTTCTTCTAGTGTTACTATATGGAGTTGAAGCCTGGACACTGACGCAAGCCACTGAAAAACGAATCGAACCCTTCGAAATGTGGCTATACAGAAGGATACTAAAAATATCTTATGTGGACCATGTCACCAACGTTGAGATTCTACAGCGCATGACAAAAGAAAAAGAAGTGCTTAATTTAATTAAACAACGTAAGCTTGAGTACCTCGGCCACGTGATGCGGAACGAATAAAAATATTGAATTCTTCAACTCGTTATGCAGGGTAAAGTATTTGGCAGAAGAGGACCGGGAGGCCGTCGTATCTCGTGGTTGAAAAATCTCCGATAATGGTTTGGTATGACCTCAGCGGAGCTGTTTCGCAGAGCAGTCAACAAAACCATGATAGCCTTGACGATCGCCAACATCCGGACCGGATAAGGCACTGAAGAAGAAGAAGGAGGAAATGCAGATTATTAAATACATTTTTTTTTAGATTTTTATGTTTTATATTAACTTTTATGTTAAAAATTTACGTTAAATTAGTACACTTCTTAACTTTTCTTTGATTATTTCATCATTAAAAAATCACAGTACACTAAAATTAAGCTGAATTTATTGCTGACTTATCAGGCATTCTAACGGTATGCAATTTTTTAAAATTCCGTCAAAATTGATATGAAAATCGCTTACTTTTATATTCTCGTATGGAGCGGTATTAGAGATTTCCAGGTCGATTGGCCAATAGGAAGGCTTAGAGGATGAGCGATGCGCATCGGAGTACGCATTAGTCCACAGCCTGTAGCACTCGATGACAGCACCAAAATGCTTAAGTACAGTTTCCTGTCTTTTGGAGATCGTAAAAGGTCATTTTATGGTCTACATCACACGGGGTGCAGGAAGGCCAGTAGTCAGTTTGCAAATCGCGTCCAGGTCTATTTTAAAATACTATTTTATTGCAGTGATGAGTTTTACTATCTATAAGTGCATTTATACTAAATGGTCATAAGTTTACTTGTACCCTCGAGAAGAAGGTGGTGCGATAACTGATACAACATAGAAGAATGGTGTTAAAGAAGTAACAGGCTCTAGTAGCCTATATCTGAAGTAAAAGAAGAAATTTTTATGTCTAATCTTTCAGTTTTTAATTTTCTCCTAGTGAGTTTTTACGAATTAAATGGTCACGGCCACTTCACGAGAATACACATTTTACCTTGACTAATTCGTTTTTATTATCAAGTTTAGATGCGTTTGTTTATGTTATCAACAAGAAACGAAGTGTTAATATTTGCTACTAATGAGTCAATGTTAGGTTTTGATCCATTGCATTATCAAGTAGAGTCAACAAAGCTTATACAACAATAATATTTATGGTTTATCGTGTATAAATTTTAAGATGTAATATATTAGTTAAAATAGTATTAGAATATGCGTTGTATATCAGAACTATATATATTTTTAATCAAGTAAATAATAAGCAAAAAAAAACGAAAAATTTCTATTAAAGGAATAAAGCAATGGTGATAAAAATAACTATAGTTTTTATTTAAATTATAATAATTACAAAGAATTATAAGGTCCTGATCTTGTTAGTATCCTTGAATTGCTTTTTAGCACATACGAGTACACCAAATAATTATTTTGTACAATTCGAAAATTCGCAATTGTGAAGTTTAATTTCGGATTCTTAAATTACAAAAATAAATAAGTAAATGTCTCAAATAACGCCTCTCTAGAGTTCAACAAAGGAAGATACCAAAAAGACAAAAATCCCTGCTGGGACATGGACTATATTCTTTGATAAAACTATAACAAATATTGATCATTGAAAAACAATAATCCATTTTGTACTAAGCAGTATCCCAATCGATTGTACAATTCTCGTTTTACAAGACATTAGCCATAACGCGTGGCGTTATTTTTGCACACTTTTCCTTAATTCGCATTTTTATTGCCTCTATATCTGTAAATTTTTGAGCAGAATAAATTTTGAATTTTAGATGCCACTAGATAAAATAATCGTTTGGCGTTAGATCTTCCGCTCTTGGAAAAAACTTAATCTAAAGCTACGTCTAATTAGACAATTGAAGGGGTTAGAAGTAAAACCGCCTAAGTAAAATTTTCACCAAAACGACTTTGGTGATGTTTCACGTTCTGAATATCTTATATTGTTTGGTAGTAAAATCGACTACGCTCTAACCCTACTTTATCGCCACCTTTTGATGAATAGAAAAAACAACCAAAATGAAATTCACCAATCGTTAAGAGCAGAAATCGCCTTAGTGCACCTAGGCTGTTTTACCTCCAAACAAGCCGCTAGATATAAATATATTTTTATTACTTATGTTGTTTGGGTTCCACTCAACGGTTTGGATTTGTTTATGACGTGTAGGTTATACTTCTTTAGTAGATTAACAGCAGTGTTTCAAGTGATACTATTGTTTGCAGAAATGATATATTTTGTCATTATAATATTTGGATCATGTTTTTTGAGTTTTGATATTATTTTTAGAGTCAGATAGTGATCCATACGCTACAGATGGAGAATCTGATTTTATTCCGAGTGAATATGAAGAAGATAACGACAGCGATAATTCTATAATATCTGCCGAGGAAGCAACTATAAGCACACATGTGGAGTATAATATTTGAGTAGTAAAAGTGTGTGTTCTGGCTTGTTAGTTTTAATTTAAGCGTAATATCCCTATCAAAAATTAATTTATTATGTAAATATTAAACTTGTAAATACCGGTAAATTTAGTATCTACCTTACAGTTATGTACTTTTAGAAATTTTGAAGTTAAGTTCAACTTAAGGGTTTAACATATTTTTTCTTTTCAGTAATTCCTAAAATTTACCGAAAAAGGAAGCGTAACATACATGCATGGAAGAGGAATAAAATCAAAAATAAGGGGCTTGCTGGCCAAGAATATGAAAGCAGAGAAAAATTGAAGAGAAAGAAATGTGTCCAGGAGTATATGCATACGTGTAGGTACCAATGTGGAATATTTAACGACATTAAAAGTAAACGACTCTTCTCTAAGTTGGACAGTTTACCAACCTGCAAACAGCTTTTTTAGCTTCATATATCAAAAAAACTGAACCTAAAAAAAACTGGCTAATAGCAAAAAAATTACAGTACAGAAATTAAACTTCTTGACCGCCGTATATGCACTTTTTCCTAAAAGCTTTTGATATCAGGGAAAGTCGCTTTAAGGTTATGTGTAAAAAAGTTAACAAAAACAATTTTGTGGAGCCTGATAAAAGAAGAAAATATGTCCCAACCAACAAAGTATCGAAGAACGCAAGAAAAATAGTGATTGAATATATCAGATCATTACTACGTAATAGCAGTCATTACTCTTATAATCAAAATCCAAATACGAAATACCTTTCGTCCGATTTAAACATTCGCAAAATGTATGGTATTTACAAAGATAATAATTGCACTGATAACGATAAACCCCCAGGAAGGGATGGGGGATTATATTTTCAATACTGAATTCAATTTAAAATTTCACCATCCTCATTCAACTCTTGTTATAAATGCGATCGGTTGGTAAACTTAATATCATCATCAACTGAAGACGAAAAAAGAAGTACGAGACAATTTAAGTATCAAAAATGGCAAAATTTATAACAGCTGCTAAAGTTCATACCCCCATTTACCATCAATTTTATAATGATTTGCCGCAGGAGTCAAAGCAGCAAAAAAAAAACACAATGAAAAAAGGAAGCACTGCTGTTAAATCTTCCAAAGAAGATGCCAACGTTGAACAAGACGACTACATAGGTTTTTTCTCAGATTATGAGTAATTCTGGTGTTAAAAAAAAGTGGTAAAAAAGTAAAATTTGTATTTTTTATTTAAGAAAAAATAAATATTAATTGAAAATTAAGCTTTTGTTTAGTTCTTTTTGTGTATTATAAATCCATTTTTGCTTAAAGGTAAAACAACCTAAGTGCATTTTTTTGTCGAAGGAGGTAAAAAAAACTAAAATAATTTCTCACCAGAAGTGTCTTTAAAATTTTATACTTATTTTGAATTGCTTAATACTTTAAAATTTTTAATTTTGAACATCCAGAATTTTTAAAAGAGCAAAAACTTTGATGCTTTATTTCTCAAAACGTGTATTTTGCTACTTAGGCGGTTTTGCTTCTGACCCCTTCAATTATAAAAACTGTTATTTCTAAACTATCTATTTATAAACTCTTTATAAATTCCAAACTCTTTCATCTGGAGTTACTTCTGCAATTCTCGGTAAAATCTTATCTTGTAGTAAGTCCAAAAACTTTTCTGAATTTAAAGTTTTCTAGTAGAAAAATCGTCCAAAAATATTGTGTCTAAATATTTCCAAATAGATATTTATTTTTCGACATTATTGGGAATTGTTTTCAACAAAATTCCCAGGCTTTCTCGGCCGACCAAATCCTATTAACATTTGGTTCATTATTTAATGTAATTGTACATTAATCGCTAAACAAATTGCTCTTTAAAACTTGTCTGTCTCTATTGGCCCTTTCGAAAATTTGATAACAAAATTCCGCTTGTCTCTCAGTATGTCCTTCTCTTAGTTCTTGATGACATTGAAAATTATACCAACGGAATTTATTTCTTTTTAAAATAGAGCCTAATCAAAAAAAAATTGTAATAGAATGATCTTAGTCGGTCAGCAATTAAGTCATCAAGAACAAACTGAACGAAAATAGGCGAGATAGAGGAACTCATATGTATTTCAAATATTTGTAAATAATATGTATCATTAAAAACTAAAAAAATAGTATCAAAAACTCATTGTAATAATTCTGCAAGTACATCCCAAGCAATAGATGAGTTCAGTTGGATAGTGCACCAATGGTTATTTAAGGAAAATAGGACACTTGCCAAAGGTAAGTTGGTGAACAGTGGAACTACATCAAAACTTACCCTTGTGATTGAACAAAATTTACCCTTGTGATAACTGAAATTCATATATGAATTTACTATATTGAAAAGAATCAACTTTATTAAAATCATTATTATAATCATAAGATTTAGACAAGATTTCTGTCAAAAACTTTGCAACATTGGTTGGGAGTGTTAATTGAGGACACAATAGGTCTCAGAGATTTTATTTTCTAATCAATAGACAATAAAATCTCGGTACATAACCGTTATAATTATATATTGATTTAGCTAAGGGTTTATCAATTATATTATTTTATAAGTAAATAATGTATTTATTAATTTTATTACAACATTTAGAAAATGGATCGAAGGTAAGAGGCTGATAATCTCTTTGTCAACCATTTTCCATCCACTCCTGAATGTAGGTCTCTCCCAATTGCTTCCATCTTTCTCTATCTTGCGCCAATCTAATCCACTGTTTGCCTGCCACTGCTCTTATGTCATCTACCCATCTTTTTTGAGGTCTTCCCATGCTTCTTGTTGTTGTCCTTGGTTTCCATTCTAGAATTCTCCGTGTCCACCTGTTGTCATTATATCGGGCTACGTGACCTGCCCAGCGCCATTTCATTTTTGTAATTTCTTCCACAATATCCCTAATCTTTGTTCTACGCCTTATCTCGGTGTTTCTAATCTTGTCTCTTAGTGATATTCCATCAACAAATTGAATTCATTCGAAATGTGCATGTACCGCCGAATGCTAAGAATAAGCTGGACCAGCAAAACTACAAATGAAGAGGTACTGGAAATAATGAACACACGACCTCATCTGGTTAATACAATCAAAATTAGAAAGACGTCATATCTAGGACACATAATGCGCCATAAGGAATTTGAGCAGCTCCAGGTAATATTAGAAGGCAAAATCGAGGGTAAAAGGGGTATAGGAAGAAAGAAAAAATCCTGGCTCCGAAACATCAGAGATTGGACTCACATAACAGGAAATTACTTAATCCAGCAAGCCCAGAACAGAGAGAAATTTGCCATATTGATCGCCAACCTCAATAGAGAAGGCACTTAGGAGGAGGAGAAGTGATATTCCAAGCATGATTCGTTCCATTGCTCTTTGCGTTGTTTCTAATTTTTTAGCAGATTTTTTGGTGAGGGCTACTGTCTCCAAGCCGTAGGTACAAACTGATAGTATACATGGTTTATACACCTTTTTCTTTAAGTTTATAGGAATGGAGGTATTTTTCAAGATATGTGCTAGTTTGCCGAAAGCTCCCCATGCCAGTTGTGTTCTTCTTTTAATTTCAGCATCTTGATTTGGTTTTCCTAGAGGCTGATAATATCTAACATCATCTAATAGAGATTGACTTAGACTAAGATATTGGTCTTTATCCATTAAGCCATTAGGATCCCCTTTATCACTAATAAGAACTAACAGATTAGGGTAAGTTTTTAAAAAAGATGGGTAAAATTTAACAAAATATTGTTGGAAGTTGAACCAATATCAAGATGTTCTGACAATTCTGCTATAAATAGACAATAATGATATAAAAATTACTACCTTACCTCTGTCCTTTCATTTTGTCATATATTTCCTTTATTTTATCGCCCATATTTTGTTTTCTAAATATAGTATCATACATATCTCCAAAAGGAAACTCCGGATCAAGCTGGGGCACTCCCATGTTTTTCCAGTATTTGTAGGCATTTTTGTAATACATATATATTAAAACGAATATTGTGAGAAATAATATTAAACCTAAATTTTCCTTGACAACCTCCATTTTGTGATCTAAAAGGAAGAATATGTTAAAATAATTAAAAATCATTTAAATATAAAAGTAATATGTACAAAATAAAAAACAAAGATGGAAACATCTTTGACACTACTGAGAACCAATATCCTTGAGGTTGTTGAATCCATTTAGTGCGAAATGTGTGAGAGCACCGACGAAAGGCAAGATCAGCTCCTGTCCAAAATCATAAACCAGGGATCAGAATTAATGCCAGAAATAACTTCATACGAAATCAATGAAAATGAAAATCAATGAAAAATAACAAATCCCCTGGCGATGACGGAGTAGTCATCGAAGCATCAAACTATTTGGAAATAAAATTGTTCGAGCTTTGGCCAAGCTTTTCAGCGAATGCATCTACCAAGGAAACACTCCTTCTTAACGTAAAAATGCAGTCATTATTTTATTACACAAGCAAGAAGACACAACAGATCTAAAAAACTATACTTTCACACATATATAAACTATTCACAAAAATTATCAAAAAAAGACTAGACACTAAATTAGACTTCTATTCACGACGCCTTTAGAACATACTTGTAAGAAGGCACATCTGAACGAGCATGGTATCAATATACATGGAGAGAAACTCAGAAAATTATATCACTCTTCCTTGGAGGTCAGACTAAAGATTAACCCTGCGTTGCACGGGTTGGGTCTGTTAGGCCCATTTAGTTCTTCTAATATTCGGTCTAATATTCGGTCAGCGAGTCCAAGTTCGATCCTGGCGATCTAGGTACCTTTCGTCGGCATAGCTAGCTATAATCCCTCAGTTACGAATGCGCATTGAAGCAATAGTGTCGATGATATATCTGTTTTCGTTCTCTCATACCCAACCCGTTCCTTAATGTAAGTTTTTTTATGAAAGTACAAAACAAAATTTGCAGTGTATTTTTTTAGAACTTAGCAAAACAATGTATTCTTACGAGAGAAAGGCAAAACATTTGCAACGTCTCTACGAGGAAGTTGCAACCGACGAGGAAGAAAATTATGAAGATTCAGATTCCGATGAGCTTATAGTTGGCAACTTAGAACATGAAGATGCTAATCATAACTCAGAGTCTGAATTAGATTTATCAGACACCGAATTAAACGTACAAGAATGTATTCCACAAGGTAAGTCAAACCTACACCTTTATTACAATACCAAAGATGGAATGAAATGTAATAAGATATGCGGATCACGAAATGTTAGAACTAGACAAGAAAATATCATAACAAAACTTCCTGGAGTTATTCGTGAAGCGAAAAGTTGCAAAACTGAAAAAGAATGGCTCTCCGCAGATTTCGATTTCTTATGAAGTGCTTACGCCTAGATGATATTCGTACATGGGACGAACGGACACAAGTAGACAAACTTGCAGCAGTTAGAGCAGTTTGAAAATTTTCAAAAATATTATACCATTGGCCAATATGTCACTATCGATGAGATGCTTTAGACTTTAGGCTTTAGAGGTCGCTGTAATTTTAAAATGTACCTTCCAAAAAAACCGGCCCGATACGGTCTGCAGGTATTTTCCTTGGTGGATTCTCGCACGTTCTATACTTATAAATTAGAAATATATGCCATATTCTATCAGTTCTGCAATAAACGATGTGGTTGAGCTGCTTTGCAAACCAATCTTCAGATCCAACCGGAATGTCACAATGGACAATTAATTTACATCAATTGAACTCGCACAAAATTTACTGACAAATCATAGTCTAACAATTGTAGGCACCCTACGGAAAAACAAAAGGCATATCCCAACCGAATTTTTAATGAACAATAGACCTCCAAAATCAACTATGTTTGGAATGACTAAAGATATGACAAGATTGTCCTATATAACAAAACCAAAAAAACATGTTGTTCTTTTGTCAACCCTACACCATGATGACCAAATCGATCCGACAACGGGTGACGAAAGTAAACCTAAAGCAATAATGTTCTATTATTCTACGAAAGGTGGTGTGGACACCGTTGATCAACTTCGAGGTTCCTATACTGTCGCAAGAAATACAAAACGCTGGCCCATGGTCATCTTTTATGCATTGCTTGATGTTGCTGCAATAAATGCATTTGTGATACAGAGAAGTAACACACCGGATCTAAAAACAAGCAAAAGCAAAAGATTTCAAAAGGTCTTCAGTGAGTGATGGACAATATAAAAGCAAGAGCTCAATCTCCTCGTTTGGCACGAGATATAAGAGAGCTTGCTGCTAAACTCAGTGGTGTTGGACCAGTAGAAGCACTTGCGGAATTGCAAAATAAAAGGGGGCGTTGTGCTTTTTGTAGAGATCGTAAAACTTGCTACAGGTGTCACTACTGTAAAAAATTTATTTGCTTAGAACATACCGTACCTGTTTGTCGCATATGCATTGATAAAATGACTGAATAAGTTATATACAAGGTGTTCTTTAAACATCTGCCATATTGTAGTATGTAATTTCTTTTATATTTTTAGTTTTAATATTATAATAGCAGGTCATTTTTTTATGTACATGTAAGTTGTCTTTAGCAGTAGTTCTAATATATGCAACGCAAACCTGTTGCTAAAAAATTAAACATAAAAAATACTTAGTTTTTTTGGGCTTCTCAGACCCAACCACTTCCTTCGTGTATCAAATTATCACCCGTACACCGAAGGGTTAATATAAACAAGACCCAAATAATGACTAATCTGGTGCTAAATCGAAATATTGCTGTTGATTGAAGTTGATATTGTGAAGACTACATCGTATAGGTATAAAAATATAATATAATTATTTTAACCGTGAAAAAGTTCCTAATTAACTTTTTTCAAAAGTTGCCCAAACTTGAAAGCCACTATTGCCGTAAAGAAACATCTAAATTGTATTTAGAACCGATGTGGCAAAATATAAACGAATTATATAGATGTTACACTAATGAATGTTGATCAACTAACGAACATGCTCCAGTAAGTCACACGTATTTTAGAAGACAATTTGGGGACCAAAATTTGTCTCTGTTTAGGCCAAAGTAAGTGTTTACTTATTGTTATTTTATTGCCTCCAATAAATCAATTTTTTTTTAGGAAGGACCAGTGTGACATCTGCACTAGTAACACTGTTGGGACTGTAAGTAATGAAGATTATCAGTTACATATTATTAGAAAAAATGCTGCTCGCCAAGAAAAGGAAAAATTAAAACAGTCCACTAAAAACGATTCAACTAAATTGTTGTTCACTATGGATTTACAAACGGTTTTAAGTGCGCCAGAATTGCAAGTATCTGTTTCGTACTATAAAAAGAAACTTAATGTTCACAACTTGTGCTTTTTTAATCTAGCATCAAATAAGGGTGACTGTTACATCTGGCATGAGGGAGCCGGAAATATAAAAGCTTCTGACTTCACATCAATTGTCATTCACCAGATTGAAAAGTATGTAACAGAAGAAACAAAAGAAGTTATTTTTTTTCTGATGGCTGCAATTACCAAAACAGGAATTCAACTTTGAGTAGTGCTTTATCTAATTTTGCAGCAGCAAAGAATATTCAAATTTACCAAAACTATTTGGAAAAAGGACATACTCAAATGGAGTGCGACTCGATGCACGCCTGCATCGAGCGTCAGCTGAAAAATAGGGACATTTATGTACCTGGCTGTTATGTTCAAATTTGTAAAAATGCAAAATTACAGCATCCTTATGATGTTCATTACCTAGATCATCTTTTCTTTAAAGATTATTCCCAGATTGAAACATATCCCTCAATTCGTCCAGGTAAGAAAAAAGGTGATCCTACAGTCACAAATTTAAGGTGTCTAGCATATCGTCCGAATGGTCTTATAGAGTACAAATTGTATTACGAAGATGACTGGAAACTACTACCGCAACGACCCAACAAAGAAAAAGCAAATAATGCTCCACCATTATCATATCCTACTGCACCAAAAATAACACTTTCTAAATTTAATGATTTGCAGGATATGAAAAATTTTATTCCTAAAGATTTTCGGCATTTTTATGAGTCTCTTGCTCATGAGTAAATAGAGGATATTAGCCAGTTAGAAATTATCACAATTTTTATTTTTTATTTTTTTTTATTCTTATGGACAGAATTTAATTTAATAGTGAATATTAGCAAGTTTTATAAACTACGGCTATTTTGGTTTTGATTTTTTTACTTTTTATGTATAAAGATTGGTTGTCATTACTCGTTTTTAAGAATATTTTATAAGTTTTATACCATAGGTGATGTAATGTAATAAATTAACTAAAAATAATTTAATTTATTGCTTTTTTTTAACCTCGGAAGTGGTTCTTTAGAGACAAAACCTCGTAAGTTTACTGACAGTTTAAGATTTTAAGTTGCAAAACGTCGTAAGTGGCCTTTTGACAAAAAAAAGCAATGTTACTAAATTTTACTTAAGGGTAATGTAATCGTTACCTCAAAAGAACCCTACACTCAAAAAACAAGAAAACTGAATGTTAAGTCAAGAAGCCAAAACGTTTTTCGTCTCTCCTGTAAAGTTACATAAAACTGACTTACGAGGTTTTGCAGTTTAACCGTCGATATCGAAAATATAAATCTAAATCTACAAAAATAAATTTTACCCAAAAGATTGCAAAAGCCATAAATTTAGTGGTTTGTCAAGAAAATATAGGAAATATCACGATAATTTATGATTCTATTGCACCAAGATAACTCATATGCGGAAATGGGGTTCGGGATTCAATTGTCGAACACAAAACAAACTTCTCGGTACTGAAATGTAATTTTTTAGGAGATTACCACTACAATTCAAACTGGAATAAATTGGAAATGAAGGGATCAGAAGAATGCTCGTAATAGAAAGAACTGTCATTAGATAATGATATAGTCTAGTACTGGGAATCAAAAGTCAACCACATTCGCTATAAACCATGTTGTATATTATACATTCATGAGTAGAAGGCATCATATTAAATGGAGAAGTTAAGATACGTTGTTACTACAGTTTTAATTGCAGGCAGTTTAAATTATTTGGAGAATATACTAGCAAATATAAATCA